GTTGAGAATTAAAGACAAACAATAAAAACACAAACAGGCAGAGACCCACTAAATTTGGTGCTTTGTGTGATGTATAGTGTCTGAGAAGGCTGAATGGTTTTATCCACTGTGTCTGTCTGTGGTATTAAAGAGTTGAATTTGGGCAACAAAGTGAGAGAATGCCCTTTATATGAAGGGAACATCATATAAAGTTTCTTTAACAAAATCAATGTGGCCTCTCTTCTGTTTTTCAGTACCACGCTCTATTAACCTTCTCACCTACGATCACGTCTCTTTCTCTTTCTCTTTCTTTTCAATTGGTTTATATATATCAAGGTTAAGGTTTTAAACATCGATGTTGATAGGAAAAACATGGTAACAAATATAATAGATGACGTATATACATACCATGAAGTAGCTAGTCACAAACTAATTTGAACATAATCAACTTGAACATAGCTTAACTGGTTAAAGCGCCTATATATCTTCGATTAAAAGGTTTAGTTCGAATTTTCATTCTCTCATGTGTTGTACTAAAAAAAACTGACTTGATCCTAATTCAATTGGTTAAGAAGATATATAAAGCTTTGAACGAAAGGTTAGAGATTCAAAATCAAGACTGATAAGCTCAAAAGTTAAATAAATAAATTCCCAATCAGATAACTTTTCTGAAAGGAATATAACAATCAATTTGGAAGAAAATTTCTTTGAAAATTTTGTCTTTTTGTTTGTTTTTTTATTAAGTTGATTGAGATTTCAAATTGTCCTTTTATAAACATGGGTTATAAAATTGTTGTTATATGACGTTTTTTAATTTGAAAATTCTGACTTTGACTTGCATTATTCTTATAAGTAATTAGATGGGACGGCTGCGTTTCCAACCTCTTATTGGTCATTTTTCGAACGGAACCCAACTCTTTATAATATTTTTAAAGGTACATTATAAATTTATAAATAAACCTTTTTTTTTTCTTTTTACAAATAAGAAAACAATTTCCAAGATATTTACCAAACCAACTCTAAACTGAGCATATAGGTTTAATTAGCATCAATTTGATGTGGTATTGCACCCACATATTTTTAGTACACGTGGCATTTCTTTTACAAAGACATGTCATAATCTAACCACACTCAAACTTTTCTCATTGATGGTAATTTAACTTATTAAAACCCTATATCTTACCAAATAAAGATGAGAAAAAAGGATTGCTAAATGTTTAGATATATATATATATATATATATAAAAGTAATGTTTGTGAAATAAATAAAAAAACAAAACAAAACAAAAGTAAGTGGCAACACAAAGGCATATATATTAGGTAATAAGTTGTTGTTGCTTTGCATATGATTGTTTTGTGATTTAAGGAAACATGGTGGGTTTGGTGACTAAGTAATTATATTGTGAAATATATAATTAAAAGACCAATCCCAACACACTCACTCACACATATGGCAGTAAAAAAATAAAAATAAATAGAAAATACCCTATCTTGTATAGTTTGGCTGTTATATGTATACTGTGGATGCAAATGGAAAATATGTTGCCCTAAAACATAGCAAATGTAGCTTTCATAGAAAATAAAACTACCAAATTTGGAGAACCCCTTTCAAAGGGAAAATAAATTTGTTGCAAGTTGATAGTTCTTCATATATGTTTTGTGACTGTGACAGCTATATCTAGTTTCTTATATATAGGTAGATGGCTAAATTATGATTCTCATATCTTTGTGTGTTGTCAATTTTAATGTCATGCTTTCTATACTTTAATGTAAGGTTAGAGTTACATTGTGCTCTTTCATGTCTTTGCCAATTTCATCCATATATTCTTTGAAGTTTTAGTTTTGACCCTATAATTTAGTTTATTATACAATTATTAATCTCAAACGATCATAACAAGTCATCAGCGCTTAAATTATTGATTCATTCCGTGGTGATTTAACATAGTATCAAAACTAGATACTATGTGTTCAAACATCTATAAAATGTCTTGTTTAGTAATGATTAAATGACCAAGATTATTATGGTATTACAAAATTAACATAAATTAGTTCTTAAAGCCTCAAAAGATAATCTCAAATTACACACATAATGATCTCTTTTTGTTCTTTCTTACAGCTCCGCAAAATGGTTTTGATACATATAATTACATTATTCTACAAACTCCCCAAATAATTTTTCCAACATTTAGAGAACAATAAAGCCATTCATAGCTAGAGATAAGTACATAACTAAAAGAATTCAACAAAACCCTACTATACAATTAACAATAATTTAATCAACCCCAACAAAGAACTAGCCCTAATTACACATAAATTTGCTGCTAGTGCTACGTACTGGGATTCGACCATGATATATTAATTAATTTTCTATCCAAAAACAAAAATGACAAAAGGGCTGATTCGATTTTGTTGATTGATTATTCGTACCGCGTTGATCTTGATATGGGGAAGGGGAAGAAAAAGGGAAGCTTTTTTCAAGAGTGTCCAAAGTTCCTGACGGAGAAAGGCGGGTTATCGGCCGGCGCGTTTCCGGCGTGGCGGAGCCCTAAAGTGAGGGACACGTCTCCAGACGCCGTACCGCTGGTCCCGAACCTTATAAGTGTTGGCCCATTCATGTCAGCCGCTGCTGCTGCTACATGATCTCCAGTGATGGTCCCATAATTTTCTGCCACCATGCTTCCATGGCGCCACATATCGTGCAGCTCCGAGTACATCTCCGTCGCCGCCGTGCCTTGGTCGGCGGTTGACGGTGGTGGTGGAGCGCCGGTGGCGGCGGTGGTGGGCGTTGGATTTTGTGCAGTGTTTTGGGTTTTGTTGTTATTGATTTTATTAGGTTGTGTAGTACTATCGTCTTCTGAATCTGCTTCTACTTTGCCTTCAAGTTGGTACATTTCTTCCACCATCGGTTTCCACAGCCGAACTCTCGCATTAATGAACCAATTCGAAACCTGTAATTTTTAAATTAGAAAAAAAAAACAAAAAATTTGCCACGTTGTTATTCATTTAGAAATTAAATAATAAAGGTGATGTACTAATCTATGGCGGGTTTTTGATTGTAAAAGCTGCAGAAAAGAAAAGCAGACGAGTTTCGGAATTTGGCTTTTCATGCAAACCCAAAAAAAGATTATAAATAAATAATTTTAATTCAAGGGAAAAGAGGTAAGAAAAGTAAAAAGGGAGAATTTAATGAGCGACAGAAAAAGAAAGGAAAAACGTATGAAAAAACAAAGGACAATTGGTGTGGGGATTTTATTATCCTCCTTCGTCAATCTCCAATCTCCAATCTCGTTTGAAGATAATATTATATATTTTGGGAGAGTGATGTAATAAAAGAATAATAATAGTAATAATATGGATTTAGATTAAAAAGAAAAAAAGAGATGAGATTTAGGGAGGGAACCTGATTTCTGGACAAACCAGTCTGTCGAGCTAACAGAAGCTTGTCTGCGTCGCTGGGGTACCTGAAGAAAAAGACCATAAAATGACAATCAGAGTCCTTTGGTTTCTTTTTCAATTCTGATCAGATTCTTCTATCTATTCATCATCACCATTTCCCCTTCCCTTCTCTCAAACCCTATAATCTCTTCTCTCTCTCTATAGCCTCTACATAGAGAAAGAGAAAGAGATGTGATTTAACATTCAACTTTTAGGTACCCTCTTCGCTTGGAATTAACGTTTATAAACTTAAGTTTTCAGAAAACAAAGAATAAAATGATTAATCTAACTTATGTTTGGATTTAGATATAGATATAGATATGCTTACGGGTGAAGAAAATGCTCGAAGAGCCAAGCCCTTAAAATGTTGACGGATCGTTCGGGGAGGCCACGCTGCGGCCTCCAGGCCTCCTGCTCCATCATCCCCATCTGGTGGAAGGCCCTCTGCTGGCGGAGAGTCTGCTCCAGGATCTTGAGGCGCGGCGTCTCCCCCTTGGTAATCCCGGGCCCCCCGCTCCCGCCCTTCTCCCCAAGCGCCTCGTAGCTCTGCCTCAGTTGCCCCGCTATGGCCTCCTTCAGGCATCGGAAGTGCCGCGACATCGCCTTCTGCGTCAGCGTCGTGTATGGCCCCGCTGCCCCCGTCCCCATCACCACGTCGAACGAGTTCACCACCATCGCCATTTGCTCCCGGTATAGGTTGTATCTCCGCTCAACCTGAGTACAAGTACAACACACAAGTTTTTAATCTTCTTCTCTAATTCTAACTTAATTTCCCTCAAAATATTGATCACCTCGTCATTTGACTCTCATTTATCCAACTAAAGAAACACATGTTGGTTTTAATTACTTAATATGAGGATGATGACGATCCTTTGTGTTTCTCGCCATTGTTTTTCAACTTCTACGAATGCGGCCAAATTGACAGACATTTTTGTTTGAATTTTCTTAACCAAAAATAAATGAATGAATGAATGAGATCAATTGCTTCTCTAACTACCTATATTTGGGTCAACTATATAATCTATTTAATTTAATTTATAAGGAAAAATAAATTTATATATAGTAATTAATGATATATGATGTCCAGAATTGTAGGTTTCAACTGAAAATACATATATATATATATATATATCTTCACAAAGTGGGTACCAATTAAATCTGGTAGAACAAAAAGAAAAAAGAAAGAGGAATTAAATCTTGTGAAATCTAATCTAACCCTACCATATACCAACCTGGTCGCTGTGTGTTAGCTAATTAAGCTACGCTTATTATTATTTTGTGTGGAAAATCATTGATGATCCGCCGGCTTTTCAAGTGATTAAACTTCATTAACCATTAACTAATCAATCAATCGACAACACAACAATCCACAACACCCAGAAGAAACTAATTAACTTAGGGGAAAAAAAAAGATGAAATTTTTCACTCGTGAAAAAAAAAGAAAGAGGTAAAAGGAAGAAAAAATAAAAAATAGAGAGAGAGATTCGTGCCTCATCAAGCATGGACAATAGTTTGACCTTCCTCCGTTGATGCTCAATTCTGTCAGCAGCTGATAAGGGGGGAGGTTGGTCCTTCGACGATGAAGAGGCGCCGGTGGCGGCAGTTTCAGGGTCAGGGTTTTGCTTTGCACTGCCGAATTTGCTCTTCTTCAACTGAACCCTTCCAACGCTACAGAATTCTTCAAGCAATTCTTGTGCGGGTTTCGCAAATTTGGAGTTCCTCAATACGTTTACCACGCCCAAAGACGACCCAAATCCAACGTGATTAATCTGGCCGCCGTGGGAATTCTCCGAATTTCTATAAGAATATTGCAAAATTGAGGATGTCCCGGCCGACCCACTTCCGCCGCCGCCGCCGTGGACTTGATTATAATTATACAGAAATCCGCTGTCTCTAATACGCAATTCATCAGC